GCTTTCGGTAACCGCCGAATTTTAACGACTGGACACAACGAGCCAGTGGCGCCAATTTTCGGTAGTTTGTACCCGAGCCCCTGCTCGAAAAATATACCCCATAAAATTCCGTAGATGCAGCCAGCCACGCACATGTAGACAGGTAAGCACCTCTCCGGGAGTAAAAAAAACTATACACGTGAGTGCAGTGCAATGGGATGTAGTGTGTGACGCGTCAGAAACCGCGGGGGAGCCTTAAATGGTTTTCGTGGTGCGCCACAATGTTACAGTGCATAACGGTATGAACCCCGGACAGGTGGATAAACAGAAAAGCCACCGGCGTCGTTGGAGACAGCCCACCAAGCACCCGTTCGTCATTGGCACGTGGCATTAAATCCAAAATGATTCTGAAGAAATTGTATTCCGCACAATTTAACGCGTGGCAAATGCACTTGGCTTTCCTTGCTGGGTGATTCGAATGACTCTTGCCATTCCAATTCGAAATGGCATTTCGTTTCTGGATTTTTTTATTTCACAGCCCCGGGAATTTCTATCATCCGTCGTTTGAATTTTATTATTCTGCCGCTGAGTGCGCATGGAGGAATGGGATTGAGGTGAGAGAAGTTTCTCGAGGCGAGAATACGGAAATCAGGGCTAGGCAACCACTGAGACAATTGTTTTTTGTTGAAATCTTTTTCGATTGTTGGGGAATGTGGAATTCCACGAAATTAATTTGATTTTCTGGTTTCATTTGCAATATTTTGGCGAACATGGAGTTATTCAAAAATTGCTATTTTATTTTTAGCGACTGGAATAAAAGAATAATAACAATTTTTTGAACTTTCGAAAGCCCTAAATGGATAGTTATAAATAATTTTCTTTTGCAATTCTGCTGGTTTTGCATTCGGATTTTAACTGAAAACTCTGAAATTTCCCGAACCAACAATTTCTACAATTTATTCATAAAGAGGAGATGACTTGAAAATTAAGAAAATTGTCGAAAAAAAAATGTATTGCAAAATTTTATACGAGTAATGCTGATTACGCATAAACCTTCGTATTTTTCACGAAATATCACCAGAATTTGTTATTAAGAATATTCCCGGAATTATTGACTCAATAATACTGGTTGCCAAATTAAAAATGCAATATTTACAGTTCAAAAAATTTCTATTCTCGTGTGATCCCTCAATATTCATGCGCATGTCTCCTGCATTCCCACAATTACAACTGACATTTATTTATGATTGGCACATGGCATTACCCCGGAGAAATTGTCCGTCCCTGATTTCTTCTGGTTCAAATAAACACGTCATTGTTCAGTGACCTCGTCATTCACATGACAACTAAAACCTATGCGCGCATTGTCACGAGTCATTTTCAATAGGGTTTTACGTTCAAGTACTGTTCAAAATTGTTGACTGAAATTTCCGGTGTACACTCCTTGAAAATTTTTAACACACAGGGGAAATGCAATTTCAGGGAATTTCGTCATTGAAAATTCAAAATATTTTCGTAAAAGCAACAGAAGTTGTAAATTTTAGTTCAATTATTCCCCAAAAATTAAATGTATTCTTGAATTTTTTAATTAATTTGGTACTGACTATTCATGTTTTCATGGAAAATTCCAGTGAATTTTGGGAATATGAAAATTCATGATTTTTGTCCCTAAATCTAAGTCAGTGTCAGTCTCGTGAGAATTACCAGACAACGGCTCATAAAAATTTCATCGCATTATATTTCCACCGAAATTTCAGCGAATTTTGTCATTAAAAATTCAAAATGTCATGGAAAACTCACTGGAAACTATAATTTCAGTTCAATTATTCCGTGAAAATTAATAGAAACCCAGAAAACTCCTCGAAACATACTTTCAAGTTCCCAATAAATTGAAAATTCATCGTAATTTGGTGCAGCATACTGATGTTTCAATTAAAAATTCAAGTAATTTAGAGAATTCTCTTCTTCCTGCTTCTCAAAAATGTGAAATCTTCTTGAAATTGGAAATTTCATGATTTCTCTCCCTAAATCGAATTCTACATCGCTCTCCTGGAAATTACCAGTGGACTCTCCATGAATTTTCAATTTTTTCCTACCCGTGAGCATCAATCCCCGGGTCGCGAAAAAAGGCTGAAAAATAAAATGACGCTGAAAACGCGATAAAACAGAATTTGACGGAAAGGAGAGTCATGCGAAGGCTAGAGGTGCATGGACAATGTACAACGGTCTCGCATTCCGGCTTCAACTACGGTTCAATGAGTCCGATCTATCGATACGTCCTGTTGCGCAATTTCGATATTTCCCTCCAACATAAACAGCCACAGAAATAGCTGAAATAAACATTTAAAAAATATTTGGGTTACGAAATAAGTGCTTTTGGAGGATGTTTTCCATTTTGTAGAACGAATACACGAGAAATTGGAACGCAAGAACTTGTATCCGGTTCGTGGAGCGCTCATGAGGCCGCGCTCGACTGCCTCGTGCCTCGTGTCTGTCCGTTGAGAGCTCCGTTATAATGTTCTATTCACCACATATTTTTAAGGCACAAATAAAAAACATTGAGCGCCAGAGGATTTTTAATTCATCGACACAGTCATATTTTTACGGTAATTCAATTTACCCAAGTTTTTATGAAATTAGATATTCAATGAGGGCATTTTTCCTCCCTAATGAGCCACCACGCGGAGAAAGTTTGCATTCATTAGGGGATAATGGAAATACCATGAATTAATGAGTAGTTGTAGGTGAAGTTGACAGAAAATTGACTGAAGCGGTCGGAAAAATATTTTAATTGTCGTTTTATGAGGAAAATTCTCGTTTAGCCAATTTTTTTGTAACAATTCCAATTTTTCATCAATTAAAATCACTGTTAAATCTAAGCAATTGGCAAGAAAAATGTACACTGAGAGAAAAAATTAACCAACTTGATAGAATAAGAATCAATTTACTCGTGGAACAAGTAAATTGATTCAACACGACAAAAGATCTCTTCAGGGGAACATAATTTTTCGACAGGACTGATTTTTGCTCTCAGTGCATTCGACGCATTTTTGTTTGAATTCGAAGAAAAAATGTGAGGCAACAAATGAGTTTCCCTCTCTGTAATTTAATTTTGAAAATCTGGATGAATCTTACGGTATTTTTTAGGGAATTTTCGAGTAACAGTTGCGCGTCAATTTGCAAAGACAACTTGAATTTTCAGACTGTCAATACATTAAGAATTCCCAATAACAGTTGCCCGATTTTTCGCAATTCTCATTCTCTTACGGACGTAGGAATTGGCATTTCGTTGAATATTAAAAAATCGACGGACGAATCGTTCTACAAAATTTCATCATTTATCACACGAAATTTCTCGTGTTATTTCCACCCAGTGTCACTCGTCTCGTAATTTCCCTCTCAATTGTTGCCCACACTCCTCAGATTTTTCTAATTTTACAACAAAAATAAAAATAAAAACGACCATAAATTTAGAGAAAAACGAATACTCGGGCGCGACTTTGCGCCTCGTTGTTATCGATTTGACCATCGACCCGTGACGATTTCGTGCATGAACGGATCCTCGTTTAGTATCCCCTGGCCTCTGTACTTGGGCCTCTATATTCATCGACAATGTACATATGTACGACGCCCCGGTGTCATCGTATCTCTGTTCGTAAATCGCAAACCCATTAAAACCATCGGCATTTGCACAATGACACGCACTTGATTCTTATTATTTATTTACTGCGTTTATTTAAAATTCAACGGGCATTTTAAATATATACCCGAAGGTCATCCGTCCATTTAACCATCGCCTAAGAATAATCCACATGCGTCGCCATTTAATTTATCATTAGAGACCTCTTTAAGGATATCCAAGTAGCTTTTACAGTTTGGTGCAGAATCATCTAATTTCTCATTAATTTTTTTATTTTATTTTTTTATTTCTTTTTTTTTTTTTCATTTTCAATCATGGAATTTTAATTTCATTAAATTGCGTGAGAAAAATTTGAAAAAAAGCATGAATACTCTGCGTTATTCATATTATATTTTGCACAGACTTATTGTTTTTTAAACATTGAAAAATAATTTACTGACGAGAAAATCGCCAAAGTACTTGGATATCCTTAAAGCCCAATATCTCTTGAACCAAGAAAGCGATCAGGTTGACCCAGGGCTCATTAAAAGCCCTAAAAACCCCTCTAAAATAAAAACAAAAATCCATGAATTTCACTCTGCCGATCCCGCATCATTGAACCTCCAAGAACTCCCCCCACCGCAAAAACGAATGTTTGAATTTTCCACACCTTTTGTAGACACGTTTCAGCCACTAAAAAACGTCCGAATAAAATGAAAATTTTTCTGAATTTCAAACATGACTTAAAATGTTTGAGTACCAGTTCGTCCGAAATTCAGACACATTTTCATTTTATTAATCCATTTTTGAGTGTTTGAAAAATGTCTGCAAAAGGTGTATGAAATTCAGACATTCTTTTTTGGTGCGCGAACTTCGCAACGCATTCCGCGTTGTTGTACCCCATCGCCCATAACTCCCACATGTCCCCGCAACAGCGTACAGCCGACCCTCCCCCGTAGAGTCCCCATGGCCCCAAAAATAATCCCGAAAACCTCGCGGCGACTGCACGCCAATTTCTCCTCAGGTGTCCCCGGCCAAAATCACAATAAAACCCAGTCCACGATTTTCCTCACCGCTAAAAGGAGGGAAGCCAATCGAGAAGAAGGTCGAGAAAGTAGAAAACCTTTTTCCGCTCGATAATAACGTTCTCCCAAGAGTGAGAGAAACAACCGACACGAGAACAAGAGTCACCGACCGGCAAATGATTTGTTGATACTCCATACTCCCCGCAAAAAGCCTCGAAATCCTTCCCAGAATCAAGAAACCGAGTTAAAACGCCCCACGTCGAGTCGAAAATTTATTCTCAGAAGCTTGACTCATTTGTTTTCTCGCCTTGACACTCATCTCGACTCGATATTTTTCGTCAACAGCAATGCTCTACGAAAAAAACGAAAAAACATACCTGAAGATCGGGGCAGTTGTTATCCCTGTGGCTTGCAGCACGAATAACCCCAGCACGCCAGCCCCACTCACTTATTTTATTCACTTTGAGCTTGCTGAAGCCACTCACTGATAGGAACCTCTTTCCCACAATTTCCTCCCGAAACTTGTACGCCATATTAATCGGCTACTATCGCAACACCTTTTTACTGATCATTAACACGACACAAATATAATCCTCATGGGATTCACTGGTCAATCCGGTGGGTTCAGGGGCATAGGCACCATCTCTCCGACACAGGGGAGCGATTCCCGCCAACTGAAGTTATTTTATCCTCCTTCAGTTGGGCGATGTATCCCTGAGAGACTGTCTCGCCTCACGTGACGAGGCCTTCGCCACGTAAACCAAAAAAAACACTGGTCAGTCCCCGAAATCCCCCACCCCCCCGTGATTTTGCCAATTTCACTGCCTCCTCGCCCTTTTCACTCACTCCCTCGGCTGCAAATCCACACGAGATAAAAACAAAAACAACGGTTTCATAACAATCCACACAAACACTCGAACGAAAACTCAGTGTTTCTTTTTTTTTCTTCGTTTCTATTCTGTTGAGCAGTTTGTTCCTCCGGTTTTACTGACTTGCGATGGCTAATTGCACTGGTGGGATTGTTTTTTCACTGGTAAATAAAACGACACAGGTGTTGAGGTTCGGTGGGTGACGGAGGAACACACATGACCGCCCAGCGATATCGCGGAGCGCACACTGCGGCCTAAACAGGCTGGGAGGCACGGCGAAGCCATCGGGAGGCCCTCCACGACCTCTCGTTGTAAGCGCCCCACCCCCGCGACCGCTCGGGGTGGGGAAAGTCGGCGCTATGTGGCGTGGATACTACACCTAGCGGTGGGCTCGAATTTCTGGACCCGAACGAACGCTTTCAACACTCATTTCAGGATTTTTATGGCCATTTTTCGGGTGATGTTTTTGTTTGGACTTTCGTTTTGATCGTCCATGGGGGAAATGGCGCATTTAGGCGGCGGATTTGGAGGGGAATGGCGCGGGAATGACGGCTTTCCGCAGGTCGAGGGACAATTCTTGTTCGTTCTGATGGGATTTGGAGGGGAAAGTGTTGACGCGAAGTGGGATTTGCTCGGAAATTTTGGAAGAGATGATTTTTCGGACTTTGGGACTCGATTTTTTGGGCGGGAGGGGGTTTCGGGGGGAGGGACGGTCGAGGGGGAGGGGGCGAGGAGATTTTCTGGGGGATAGGGAATTTTTTTGGGGGAATTTTGAAAGGGCAATTGTTTCTCGGTGGGCAGTGGAGGCAATATTCTTGGCTTCCCGCCTTTTTCATATTGAGGGGAAATATGGAAAATTGAGGGATTTATCCGCGAGCAATTCAGAAATTTTCATCAATTTTAGTTTTTTCTTTTGTTCAAATTTTTCTTTTCTCTTTGATTCAATCGAAATTGAATTTATTCGTGAGAAAAATGCGTTTATTTGTTGAATTTGGGGTAAAATTATTTTTCTCGTTAATTCATCATTTGTACTCTCAGAACCCAGAAATTTTCCCCAATCAATTTTTTTTCGTTCACCTCTTGAATTTTTCGTCTCCTTTCCCTCTCAATTCTCCCAAAAAATTATGTCTCTCACCGTATCACAACCAGAATTGAATTTATTTATTTAAAAAATTGAATAAACAATTGAATTCTTATTATCACTCATCTCCCCCCAACAATGAATTTGAAATGGAGCATCGATAAATGTTTGGACCTAATTTTTGAATTCTCATACTGAAAAATTAATGGATTTATGCTCTCAAAACACAGAAATTTCTCTCAAACAATTTGTTTGATTCACCTCTGGAATTTTTTTCTGCTTTCCCTCTCAATTCTCCCAAAAAATTATGTCCCTCACCGTACTACAACCAGAATTGAATTTATTTATTAAAAAATTGAAGAAATAATTGAAATCGTATTATCACTCACCTCCTCCCAACACTTCACAAAAAAAAAAAATTTATAACCGCTTGGATTTTATTTCGGACTTCTCATATAAAAAATTCTTAGAATTGTGCTCTCAAAGCCCGGAAATTTCCGGCAATAAATTTTTTTGATTTACCTCTGGAATTTTCTTTTCCTTTCCCTCTCAATTCTCCCAAAAAATTATGTCCCTCACTGTACCACAACCAGAATTGAATTTATTTATTAAAAAAATTGAAGAAATAATTGAAATCTTATTATCACTCACCTCCTCCCAACACTTCACAAAAAAAAAAAAAATTTATAACCGCTGGGATTTTATTTCGGACTTCTCATATAAAAAATTCTTAGAATTGTGCTCTCAAAGCCCGGAAATTTCCGGCAATAAATTTCTTTGATTTACCTCTGGAATTTTCTTTTCCTTTCCCTCTCAATTCTCCCAAAAAATTATGTCCCTCACTGTACCACAACCAGAATTGAATTTATTTATTAAAAAAATTGAAGAAATAATTGAAATCTTATTATCACTCACCTCCTCCCAACACTTCACAAAAAAAAAAATTTATAACCGCTTGGATTTTATTTCGGACTTCTCATCTACAAAATTCTTAGAATTGTGCTCTCAAAGCCCGGAAATTTCCCGCAAAAATTTTTTTGATTCATCTCCTGAATTTTCATTCCACTCTCTCTCAATTCTCTCAAAAAAATTATGTCTCTCACCGTATCACAACCAGAATTCCATCTATTTATTTAAAAAATTGGATAAATAATTGAAATCTTATTATCACTCACCTCCTCCCAAACTTCACTAAAAAAAAAGTATAACTTGGATTTTATTTTCGACTTCTCAAATAAAAAATTCATAGATTTATGCTCTCAAAGCCCAGAAATTTCCCTCAATCAATTTTTTGATTCATCTCCTTTCCCTCTCGATTCTCCCCAAAAAAATTTCTCTCACGATATCACGACCAAAATAGAATTGTCTCAGTGTAAACAACTGAATAAACACTTAAACTCTTACCATTTCTCACATCAGTTCCCCTCAATTTTCACCCAAAATCAAATCCATAAACGTTGAGCCCGTTCATCTTTCGCCTCTCCTTACAACTTGAATTTTAATGGATCTAAAATTCAATTTACACATTATCATCACAATTATTATTCATCATCATCATTATTATTAAAAAAAACAGATTTAAGGAAGAGTGGGGTAAAACGGCCCCTTTGAATTTTCTTTTGAAACTCATAACTCAGAAACAAATTCATTAATTGAGATCAGTCTAGGCTCATTTTTCAAGGGGAAGATAACAATAATAAGAATAATAATGATAATAATAATAATAAAATGTAATAATTATAAAACTGATGATAGTTTATTTTTGTAGTTTCTATGGAAAAGAAATTATTCCAGTTTACTTAAAATGAATGAACTTTCGATATTTTTGAAAAAATCAAAAGTCGCCATTTTACCCCACTCTCCCCTGCCGATCTGTTTTTCGCGACACAACAAAAAACTGATTTATCCCTCAACTCACCCCGGAATAAACAACAAATTCGTGTTGTCCCTCGCTTGCTCTCCCATTTTCATAAACAAACGAATCAATAAACATTTCCACAGTCTCCAGAACCCATCCCCCACCGAGTCCCCCAACCTCTTCGTCCCTGGCAAAATCACGTGACCAAAACACGACGTGACGTCAGCGGCGCAGCACCAGCCAGCTGCCAGTTCAACATGGCCGATCAGTGAGCTTGGCGGTGTTACGTTCTCACGTCCGCATTGTTAACATCACATCATTTTTTTTACACCAACAATCGTGTTTATTTTGTGTTCACAATAATCAACTAACATGATATCATCGATAATATCGCGTCTGGTAATGTGAGTATTATTTCCCAATTTATAATTAAAATCTAATGACAAAAATGTCGCATTCCTGCCCCTCGAAGCGATTAACGAGACCCAGGGATTGCAAAATGGGGTTGTAAAAGCATTGCTCCCAATTTTCCACGAGAAATTCATAAGCAAGAAGGAAAAAATGGCGATTTTTCTCGCTCCGAAGACTCCAAAACCCCCAGAAAATTGCAGAACCCCTCCAACAATTTTAATTCCCCAGATCGTCTCAAATTCTCATAAAATAAATCTCTGAACAATGGAATGTCTAGTGGTGAATATTGTGTCGAATAAAGTCTTAAGAATCATTTGAGTGGCACGACAAAGAGAAGTGAATGAAGCTCAGTGTTGTGACTCAATAGTGAAAAGAATGAGGGAAAATCGATTGCGAAGGGGAGGAAATATCTTCTGCGTCTGAATAAACCCGATAAATAACATTCCCGAGTGCTCAGAAGCTTGAAACACCCGACGTGTCAATGTCAGGGTGCCTGATGAGGTAACGCTAATTGTCCAGCCTTCATAATATCATCTCCTTAACCGTACGACAGGGGGGAGAGACATAAACAAAGAGAATCTTTGAAGCGTGGTAATTACATGTGCCCAAGTGAAAGTGCAACGAGTTTTATCGTGGAGAATCCCTGAAGTCAGTGTTGCGCAGTGAAAAGAGAGAAACGAGTAACCGAAGGCCTCACTCACATCCTAACCCAACCTGAGACAGTAGATTGAATACAACGTTGTGTCAGGTCTCCTCTGCATTGCAAAACACCAAACAAACGATTCACTGTTGACGAGACATTACATTCACTCGGGGGGATTAAAGGTCTGAGTCGTTTATTGTAGCATCTTTGCGAGCACAAAGGAAGCCTGGAAGCCTTTCCAAGGATTGTTATCCAATATTTTTCCTTTATTTCGCCTGATCGAATCTGAATTTCAATCTTTGTTTCATGATTTTCGAGAGAAAATGCAAAAAATGGGCGAAAAACGATGGAATGAAACAAATCAATCGCAGGAAAAATCGTAATGGGGGTGTAAGACCTAACGATCATATGACGGTTTTTTTTACAAGTCAGATCAAGTTTACTCATTACCTAAAAATATTTGTAAGCCCATAGATTTTCCTAAATTGAATTTTTTGTCAATTTCATCCTCATTTCAAAATGATGAATGATTTTTTATGATTTGGAGCAATGGTGAAGTATTGGAACACAGCAATAATAATTTATTCCACCATATTCAAGGAAAAATGCGATAAATCGTTTAAAAAAATAAACAAACCAAAAAAATCCCAGGAAAAAATTCTAATGAGGGTTTAAGAGTTGAACAGTCATCTGAGTAAATTTTATGACTTAAAAATATTTCAGTAGGAAGTGGTAAAACGGTTTAAGTCGACTTATCTCCCAGTTGAGTTTTTAAGGAATATTTCCGAATCTAACGGATATAGCGAAATTTTCGTAATTACACTTGTTGTAGCTCTCAATCGGCTCTACAAAAAAGGTTATAATAACAATTTCGCTATCTCCCTTAGATTCCGAGATATTCATTGAAAACTGGTCAATCGTCAAAATCGATTTGTGCCGTTTTACCACTTCGCTACTGATTTGTATGCCCCTAAATTGTGGATGAATTTTTATGATTTAGAGCGATGTAGAAGCATTGGAACAGAATTACTGAGATTTATTTTATCATAGTCAAGGAAAAATGCAGAAAATCGTTTGCTCATTACTTAAAAATGCGTGTACAACCCTAAATGCCTCTAAGTTGAATCTTTCACCAGTTTCAGCTTCAAATTGTGAATGAATTTTTATGATCTGAAGAAATAGAAACAGACAACATAATTACCATGAATTGAGTGTGCTCATCCCCAGATCTTTGTTTGATAAAAATGGTAGTGATCTAGATCGACCTTGTTCTTCTTAATTCACCCGTTGCCGAACAAGGCCTATCATTAGGCACTAAAACCCGAGGTCCGGCCATCTAAAAATAACGAAAACAGTCTTGGCCTCAAAGGAGAACACGGCACGATTGGCACGCGTCTTTAGAAAGTCACTGAAAACAGAGGTGGATGGGGATTCCCTTTATGGTGATGAGCGGGTTTTCAAATTTGGATGTACAATTTTGAATTCGTGTCGAGTTGAGGATAAGGTGGTGCAGATGGAGGAAATAGCCTTCGTCTAGTTGCATAATTGAATTAATGTCTGGCAGAGGTGAGGGGATTCGTGATTCGATGAAATTATTTCGGTGATTGTTCTGTGAAAAATTCTCCTTGAAATTATCTCTCATTTCTAATTTTCAATATCAGCTCCAAGAGATAGTGCAAAATTTTAGTACAAATTACGGTATTTTTGGGGAATTTTCACTGAATTGTTCATGATTTAAAAATATTTGCACACAGGTTCAGCTTTATTTCAAATTGGGAATAAATTTTTATGATTTGGAGCAATAGAGAAGCATTGAAACATAATTACGAAGATTCATTTCATCATATTGACGAAAAAATGCAAAAACATTTTCAAGGAGAAGATGCATTGATTTTAGTGGAGATTATGATATGTTTACAAAATTTTTGCCTGAATTATTGCTTTTTTAGTAGAATTTCGGTGGAAAATGAAATGAAAAGATAATGCTGAACAGATTTCAAGTAAAAGATATTGCGGTTTTCAATGAATTAAAAACTCAAAAATGTCTTCCCCTCAATTTTCTCATTTCTAAAATTTCCTATGGAACAATTCACCTGAAATTGACAGTCTCGGTCGATTACTTCATAAAATTCAGAATTATCAGTTACAAAATTCCTTGAAAATCCATTTGAACTGTCGCTAGATAAAAATTTGAGATGAGTGAGCGCAAATCCACGACCGATTTCATTCTGAGTAGCACTCAAAACCCCGAAATTGAAAATTCCCATTGAATTTCCATTTGGAGCAGTGCACCGAACAAAGAAACCGAACTGGCGAAGCCACCAACACATGTCCCTTTTGTTTTCCTTTTAAAAACCCAGCGATATCTCGAACATACGGCGTCAGCTGATCGTCTACGTCACGTCGGGTTGGTGCACTCTCCTAACGCATGCACTGTATCTCTCTCTCTCTCTCTCTCTCTCTCTCTCTCTCTCTCTCTCTCTCTCTCTCTCGCATACCTCCATCGCATCGTTATCTCGATTTCGCCTTTTTTGTTTGACATTCCCCTTCTCCTCGGTGTACACGCGTCTCCGGTTGTGAACGCACGCCTTCCGTGCGGGGCGTACACACGACCCAGCCTTGGCACTCCATGACTCATGGGTACTGGCAATAAACACGCGGCTTGGTTTATTATAAACTGGAACGGTGAAAACGAGATCGAGGAGAATGGGAGGGAATTTTTTTTTTTATTTTATTTTTTTCCTAAACGAAGGCAAATTGTGAAAAATCGCTGGGCATGTGATGTCAATGGGAAAAAATGGTTCCCTCGGCGTGTGGCTGATGGGATGGAGCACTCGGAGATGTGTGCTGATGGTTCCAGTAACCTCGTAGCGACACTGCACTCGTTGGATCAATGCCTGGCTGGCAACAGCAGAGAGCCTCGACACTACTTGGAGATTGAGGAAAATCTCTATCCCCCTTTTCTTGCGCTTCCACCGCGCTCTTACCCTCGTTCATCACGTGAAACTCGCTTTCTGGTGTTTCCGGGGATCGATTTTCGGGGCAACCGTAGTCCAAACTCCGTGCGTTCGTTCTGCGAATGAATTTCACCCTTGAGAGGAGATGGGTGACCTCAATTCGAAGGGAAAATCAATTCTCGTTAGGAGGAATACGATGGTAAATTTTTGGATGATATTTGGGGGACATTTCTGGGGATTTTTTTGTTACATTGAAATTTCCAGAAATTTTGTCATTGAAGATAGAAAATTTCATGGAAAATCAATGGAAAATTCACTCAAGTTCAATTATTTGGGGGAAAATTAATTATTTGAAAATTAAGCGGAGTTTAGTACTGAAAATTCACAATTTTCTGAATAATGCTTTCTCGCGTAATTAATGCAAAATAATGTTGTCCCCTAAAACTCCTTTTTTCAAATTCATAATAAATTTATTCAAGTCCAGGCCACTTGCACATTCCATAACAAAAAATGAGGTTTCCAGAACTCTGAAAAAGTTCTATCAGTTATTTATAAGAATGAAACATTCAGAAAAAGGAAAATAACTTCACAAAGTGTCATTGAGATGATTACTCCACTTTTTCCATAAAAAATGAAATAAACTGTTAAATAGTATAAAACTAGACTCATAAAATAATTTAAAATACAAATAATTAATAAAAAAAATATATAAATCATGTATTCACTCAATTCATGACAAACAAGTCCAGATTTTTCAATCAACAAAAATGAAAATCCCAGCATTATTTCCCCTGTCTCTCATTAAAAATAATGCAAATGAAGAGCATTGATTAATTCCCCCAATATTTCAAACCTCCAACTCGGAAAAATAATCAAGCACAAAGTATTGTTTCGATATCCCCCACGTCAGAGGAAGAGGGATCATCGACCCCCAGCATAAAGCACATGAACTATTGGTTATATTTGCGTGAATACGAAAAGTCACGATAACTGGAGTCTCGAAACATGCCCACATTTGTAACACGCGAACGTGACAACGACTTTGAGTGGCATTTATCCCCAAATAAGAATTAATGTGATAACAATTTACCCCCCCCCCCCCCCCCCAACAAACGAAACAACAATTCGTCTGAGAATTTCCACACGAATAAAGGAAAGAAATGTTTTCCTCAAATGACATGAACTCCTCAACGGGCAAAGCAGAGGAGCACATAAAAATTCAATAGGCGATCGACAACCCGTCGGGAGAGTGATGACTCTCTCGTGCACCGTCACAGCGAAGAGGTGTAAATAAAAAAGAAGAGAAAATAAGAGAGAGAGAGATGGAAATATTCCCCAGTGCGTCACATTGCCGTGGCATTTGAGGTTGCGTGGGAGGGTAGCTTTGAAATCT